TCCCTCTACTCTTATTTTGGATTAGTTTCTACATATCAGAGAAAATATTTGATATTTGACTTTTTGGGACTGGCATATTTCACTTAGCATGATAGTCTYCAGTTCCATTCATTTACTGATAAATGCCATAAACTCATTTTTCTTTATGGCAGAGAAAGACTCCATTGTGTATATATTCCACATTTTCTTTATCCATTCAACTGTAGAAGGGCATCTAGGTTGGTGCCATTGCTTAGCTATTGTGAATTGTGCCATTATAAACATTGATGAGTCTGTGTCACTGTAGTATGTTGATTTTACATCTTTTGGATATATACTGAGGAGTGGGATAGCTGGGTCATATGGTACTTCATTCCTAGTTTTTTAAGGAATCTCCATAATGCTTTCCAGAGTGACTGCACTAATTTGCAATCCCACCAACAAGGTATGAGTGTACCCTTTTTTCTACATCCTCAAATCTCAGTGTACATTGTTTTAATTTTTATTTTTCCTAATTGGCGGAGATATTGAACATTTTTCATATATTTGTTGAATATTTGTATTTTTGTGTTTTCAGAAATRTCTATTTAGTTCCTTTGCCCACTTATTTGATTGGGTTATTTATTTTTTTGTTAAGTTTTTGAGTTCTTTATATATCCTCAATGAAATTGATCTGTTTAAGCTTTCTATATTCTCATAGTTCAGTTTTAGTTGGTTATGTCTCTAGGAATTTGTTAGTATCTTCAAGATTCTCTAGCTTATTGGAGTATAAATTTTTAAAATAGTTTCTGATGATCCTCTGGATCCCAGAAGTGTCTATGATGATATTTCATTTTACATTTTAGATTTTGATAAGTTGAGTTTTTTCCCACTTTCTTTGGTTAGTTTGGCTAAAGGTTTATCAATTTTGTTTATCCTTTCAAAAATCCAACTCTGTTTTGTTGATATTTTATATTTCTTAAATCTCAATTTCATTGATTTTGGCTCTGATTTTAATTATTTTCTGTCTGTTACTGATTTTGGTGWTGGTTTGTTCTTTTTCAAGGCCCTTGAGATGTAGTGTTAGATTATTTACTTGGGTCTCTTTCTATTTTTTAATGTGTGAGCTTGGTGCCATCAGCTTTCCTTTTAGGACTGCTCTCATATTGTTCCTGAGCTTTTGATATGTTGTATCACTATTCTCATTTATTTCTAAGAATTTTTTAAATTTCTCTTCTAATTTTTTCTGGTATCCTTTCATCATTCAAAATTGTATTATTTTAATCTCTAGGTGTTAGAGTGCTTTCTATTTTTTTATCATATTGTTGATTTCTAATTTCATTCCATTGTGATCTGATAGAATCCCACATATTATCTATTTTGTATTTGCTAAAATTTGGTTTGTGACCTAAAATATGGTCTATTTTAGAAAATGTTCCATGTCCTGCTGAGAAGAAAGTAAATTCAGTCATTAATGGATGAAGTATTCTATAGATGTCRGTTGGGTCCATATTATTATGTTTTTAGTTCTATAGAATCTTCACTTAGTTTTATGTTTAAGTGATCTATCCACTAATGAGAGAGGTATATTAAGGTCACTCAGTATTATTATACTGTGTTCCATTTGATTCTTAATATTGAGTTTGTTTGATTGCATAGACGTTCTATTGTTTGGGACATAAATATTTATGATCATTATATTTTATTGATGTATGATTATCTTAAGCAGTATAAAGTGATCTTCTTTGTCTCTTCTGATCAATCTTGGCTTAAAGTCCACTTTATCTGATATGGGAATAGCTAGCTCTGTTTGTTTATGAATCCCACATAAATGGTATGTTTTTTCCCCATCCTTTCACCTCCAGTCTGTGGATGTATTTTCTTATGAGGTGAGTCTTTTGCATGGTGTTGGGTCCTTTTTTTTAACCCAGTTTGCCAGCCTGTTTCTTTTTATTGAAGAGTTTAGACTGTTTACATTACTGTTATTGAGACAAGATTTTTATTTCCTGCCATTTGGATTTATTTCTAATGTTTAAAAATTGAACTTGAGTCTCCTTTAATTGATCRTTATTCTAGTTTAACTCCTCCCTATCCTTTTTTTAAAAATTTTTCATTTCTTCTTCATGAAACATTTGGTATGTTTTGTAGTGCAGACTTTCTAGTTATGAATTTTTTAGCTTCTGTCTATCTGTCTAGTTTTTATTTCATATTCAATTCTGAAGCTTCGTTATGCTGGGTATAGTATTATTGGTTGGTATCCATTTTATTTCAGAGCTTGATGTATATTATTCCAAGCCCTTCTGACTTTTAGTGTCTGGGCAGAGAAATCACTTGAAATCCAGATTGGTTTATCTCTATATGTGACCAGTCATTTTTCTCTTGGCAGCTTTTAAAATTCTATCCTTATACTTACATGTTAGATATTTTTACTGCAATGTGTCTTGGAGTGGATCTTGTATATTTTGTATATTCTTGTATATTTTGTATATTTGGAGTCCTATATGCCTCCTTCATTTGAATTTCCATTAAATTCTTGAGGTATGGTAATTTTTCTGATATTATTTAATTGAAAAGATTATGCATCAATTTAGCTTGTATTTCATAGCTTTAATCTATTCCAATAAATCTTCAACTCAACCTTTTAATGTTATCCCATATTTCTTGAATATTCTGTTCATGGAACATCTTTTCTTTATGGTTGACTTTATTTTAAAGGTTATATACCATGTATGAAGACCTGAAAATCTACTTTTAATGTGCTCCAATCTATTGGTGATGTTTTTCATTGAATTTTTAATGTGGTTTATTGATTCTTTCATTTTAAGGATTTCTGTTTGGTTCTTTTTCAGAATCTCTATCTCTTTATTGATGTGATCTTTCACTTGCTGTATTTTCTCTGATTTTACTCCTTACATCTTCTTCTAATTCATAAAACATTTTCACTATGAGCTTTCCAAATTCTTTCTCTGACATCTCCTCCACTGTGGTATCAATGAAGTCAATTGTTGAAGCATTATGGGCTGTTTGGGATGGTTTGTTTCCTTCCTTTTTCATATTGTTTGTATGTCTACCCATCTATTGATTTAGTTCTCACTTTTTAAACAAAGGACTACTTTGTGAACTACTTTCTCTTAAAAGCCCTCTCAATTCTGCTTTTCCTGTGCTGCCTTCTTACTGTGTTTTGAGGAGTTCGGGATTCACTACCTGACTTCCATCGTTTTCTAGTCCACTGATAAGAATGTAAATTACTTTAACCACCTTATGTGTTGTGCTTTGGGATTTATATTTTCACATTTGGGTTGGTTAATAAAAATGGTGTTGTCTGAAGACATTATTTCYTAAATCAGTGAATAAAAGGTGTGCCATGTAAGATCATTTCTCTTTGAGAGTCAAGGAGCAGGAGGTTTGGAGATGAAGTGTAGAGGCCGGATATGGTGGCACATACCTGTAATCCCAGTTACTTGGAAGTCTGAAGTAGGAGGATTATAAGTTTAAGRCCAGCTTGGGTAAATTAGCAAGGCCTGAAAAATAATTTTAGAGAGGCCCTGTCTTGATAAAAATGAAATGACTGGGGATATAGCTCAGTGGCAAAGTGTCCCTGAGTTAAATCCCGAGTTCTAAAGAAAAGAAATGAAGTRTAGGTACAGCAGTAGATTGAACTCTGGGCATTCCCTTAACCATGTGTTCTCAGAGTCTCTTCTGTCACGTGGCATTTCACTTTTAGGTATGGTTATAACTATATGATAATAGTTGTTTTTTTTTTTTTAAAGAGAGAGAGAGAGAAAGAGAGAGAATTTTTTTAGTATTTATTTTTTAGTATTCGTCGGACACAACATCCCTGTCTGTATGTGGTGCCGAGGATCGAACCCGGGCCAAACGCATGCCAGGCGAACACGCCACGGCTTGAGCCACATCTCCAGCCCTGATAATAGTTTATTGACCTATAGTCAGAATCAGTTAGTATTAAGGAGAATCTCGTGCCAAGCTAGAAATTTTCTCCTCTTGATGTGTGTAGAAACCTTCTGAACACAGTTGTATCTACCTTCCTGTGAGCCAACAAGTCTCACCCATAAATACTGCAGTGACCAGGGAGAGAAATCAAAGGGCGGCCCATATAAGCATGAGGGAAACTATATAAGAAGGGGATTTTCATCACAGTGACCCCTGTGGTCTTCAGCCTCAGTATTAAGGTCCTGGTCTAGAAAAATTCTAAGCCTCCAGTTCGCTCAGGATTAAACCTGTGAGCCCGGGTTCATCATCTGTAACGTASATCCATCGATCTAATAGTCATGTTTTGGGCCTCATTGTACAAGATGAAAATGTTTTGTAAATTGTGAAATATTTTGTAAATTATTCTGGAGAGAGAGGAGTTTTTCTGGATTGTATGTATGAAAGACAAAATGGAGTATTAGTACTCACAGTAGGGAGAATTTCATTAATGGGGAGCATCCCAAAGAAAAGGACTGAAGGTGGGGTTTGATTATAGAGGCAGAAAATGGGCTCTGTGAGGGAGAGTGGAGGCTGGTCTTATCTTAGGCATGGAAGCCAGTTCTTAGAACACAGAAGGTAAGGAGGGAAGGCTGGCCCAGCATTGCCATTCTTGGGGAGCTCAGGGCTCAGAGAAACTCAGTCCTCTCCGTGTTTTAGATTGAATACCTTGGGAAGGAAATTTATATAAGCCTGCTTTCTTAAAAGGATTGAACCTTTCCAAAAACTGAACTGAGAACCAGTGATGAAGAGAGCTACGTAAAGCTGGTAAAGCTTACTTATTCCTAAGATAATGTTCTTCCAGTTCCTTGCTTTCATTTATTACACACTGTCATCATTTTTGTGCCTTTCTGACTGAGAGCTCATCCTTTCCTGGGCTCTGCTTGTCCCTCGGCTCTCTCCACCTTTTCCTTTGCTGCCCTGTGCACACAGCTGTTCACCCATGCACACAGACACACAGCGGGAGCTTGGGAAAGGGACAAGGGACCAGGATGCCTACYGCCACATTTGACTAAAATGTCCAATGAGAGGACATTGGCTTTGGGGTCCTGATGACATGGCATTGCTTTGGGTGGACTCCTGAGTGAAGAACTTGACTAGATTCTGGATATGTCAAGATTTACTGACAAATAGATCTTTATTAGAAATAAAAGGCAGAGTTTTTATAGTATTGCATCTGCTTTCTGTTTCATGTCCTAGTGCTTTATTTATTTATTTTTTTTAATTTGGCTATTTCAAAAGTTGTTTCTCAGACACATATTATCAGGAATCCCTCCTTGGAACTAACATAACTGTTGTAGTCTTCCCCTTCTACAGGTTTGCCATAAGCCAATGGTAGTTCCTGTTTTTTCCATYCTGAGGCCACCTTGGACATTAGTGGTCAGGAGCTGTTTGTGGAAAATCTGATTTTCCTTGGAGATACATATTTTCAGTTTTCATATTTTTAAAAAAAGTGATTGTTTTTTATATACTTTGCTAAGGAATTTGAGGCTTCTGTTTTACTTGATTTCAACAATTTAAAGAAGATGGGTTGTTTTTATCCATCCATATGTAGGACAAAATTTCAAATAACTAAAAAAAACCTTTTAGGTACATTTGCTTAATGAATTTTTAATTATTTGAAATAAGAATATTTTCTAAAGCTTCTTAAAAATGCACTGCCATTTCATAGGTTAACCATTTTTTGTTGATTCTAAGCCATCATTGCAGTAAAGAATATGCCTAGCTGTGACACAGCCACAGTCTCCTAATTGCTGTATTTTTAAAAATATTTTTTCTTTGCATTTTTACTAATTTATAAAAAAARCTTATTTTTGTTTTGTAGCAAATTTGGAAAGTACTAAAATATATAGAACAGAAAATAAAAATCAATCATTTCCTACACTCCACAAACTCAGTATTMGGTATTATTTCCTCCAGGGAACTGTTATGCATAAACTTGAGGTAGCCTGCGTTAGTTAAGATGAGGGTCCTTTCTCCACACTGTTAAAGGTGAATGCTTAGTTTGAGTTTTCTGGAGGCTGCCATCCAGAGGAGCCCTATGCCCTCTTCCACAGTGAGGGCCTGGATGTCACCCCATGGCCTTAGGTTGCCTCCATTTATTGTGGTGAAAACCAGATCACCAGGCTTCATCATTCCAAAGTGGGGGCTTTGGCACATTCTAAGACTTTTTATGGTATCTTCTCTTATTAACATCCTTATTGTCTTCCTGGTTTGAAGGCTGGGAGCTYGATGAAGAGTCTGCTGCATTTGCTCACAGGACAACAAGTACTGTTCTGGGGGTTTTGGATGCTCTAGTTCAGAACCTTTCACCTTCGTAATGATGAGGGCTCATCAAAAGAAAGGAGCCRAAATGAGAAAATCTTTAGCTGTGCATCCTTTCACACATGTTCAAATGTTTTACTTTGCAGGAATTTGCTATAAGCAAAAATATCCAATTGGGTGATGAAAAAGGCTTAAAATTCCCCTCAGTTTGGGACTGGTCTCTTCAGTTCACAGCAAAGGATCGGACGCTTTTCCACAACCCCTTCTACATTGGAAAGAGCACGCCTTGCATACAGAATGGCTCAATGAAGTCTTTTAAGCGAACGAAGGTTGGTTGTTGGKTTTTTTTTTGTTGGTTTTGTTTTGTTGTTGGTTCCAATAGGGCACCAACAACAAAAACCTCATGTTGGCTCACACATAACCAAAACATCTTTTTCAGAACACAGGTATTAAAAGTAGTCATTCCATTGATCTTTCTTCTAATTTTTATCTCCCCAAAGACAGTAGAATAAATCTGACCTCACATTCCTACATACATATACCACAGTGAATCTCACCAACATGTACATCCATAAGACACGAATGAAAAAAAAAAAACTAAAATAGCAGAAAGATCAATAGAATAGAGGGAAGGGAACAAGGGGTAGGAGGAAGGGATAGGAAGGGGAAGTGCTAGGGACTGAATTAGAACAGATTATATTGCATGTTTTTATAATTATGTCAAAATAAATTCTATTGTCATGTGTAGCTAAAAAGAATCAATTAAAAAAGGGAAAAAGAAGTTGCTATTTAGAGGTACATTAATGAGAGCCATAGTCAAAGATAARTACTTATTTCTAGAAAACTTGAAAGAATATAGCAAATATGATAAACTGCAGATCTCACTAAAAGAAAATAAACAATTCTTTAAAAAAAAAAAACAGTAAAGTCACTTCCAAGCAACACTGTTAATGCAGGGTTTTGAGGGATCGTTTCCTTTTTTACTAATGTAACCATATTTGACTTTTCTTCTTGGTGTGTGAGGCTCACAAAGCCTAATCAGCAACTGAGAGTTGGCAGATCATACTCTGTGCCTAGAACCCTGTTTTCTGAAACACATCTAGTCTGCCCATTTTTTCTAGAATTAGCCAAGCCTAGTTTTTTTTTTTTTTTTTTTTTTTCCCTAACTCAGAAGCCATAAATGTGCACCCAAGGATTACTCACTCACCTTCTACCCCTATTCAGGTGTTAGAGCCTTAAGGAGAGTTAACCCCTAAAAACAGTGTTATTCCAGGGAAGGAGAATTGGAATAAGCATTAAGCATAAGGGAAAGAATGAAAATGTTCTCTGCAGCTGAAATTCCATCCATGTTCCATAAATACTGAGTTTATGTTTGCCATTGTACCTTTGGTCTTTCTTAAAAAGTGACGCTCCAGGAAAATAATGCTAAGATCTCTCTTCTCTGTAGAAAAGCTACAGCTCCACACTAAGAGGAATGCCATCTTCCATAAAGAATGGAATCATCAGTGACCAAGAATTACTGCCCAGGAGAAATTCATTAATATTAAAACTAAAGCCAGACCCACTTCAGCACACCGACAGCCAGAACAGTGATATGGAGCAGTATTTTAGAGAATGGTTTTCTAAACCAGCTGACCTGCACGGGGTTATACTGCCGCATCTCTCTGGAACACACATAAAACTGTGGAAACTGTGCTACTTCCGCTGGATCCCCGAGGCTCAGATCAACCTTGGGGGCTCCATCACCGCCTTTCACAAGCTCTCCCTTCTGGCTGATGAAGTTGATGTGCTCAGTAGGATGCTGCGGCAGCAGCGGAGCGGCCCCTTAGAAGCCTGTTATGCAGAGCTGGACCACAGCAGGATGTATTTCAGAGCCAGTGGCCCTCATGACACCTCCAGGACACCAGAGTTTCTCTCCTCTTCCTTTCCGTTTTCTCCTGTAGGAAATCTGTGCAGACGAAGTATTTCAGGAACGCCATTAAGCAAATTTTTAAGTGGGGCCAAAATATGGTTATCTACTGAGACACTTGCAAATGAAGACTAAAATGTAGTATTTTCTGAACATTTGAAGGGAAGCTCTATAAATTTTTCTGAATCAAAATTGTTAACCTAGGCATTTAAAACTGATAATTTTATATATAAGAATAATAGATGAAATTTGCACTAATATTTTAAAAATATGTTGAATCACTCTCCCTTTATAGTGGTTTAAGAGAAATGTAATTTTTGTTTTTTATGTTCTCTAGCATTAGAGTTCTGGCTTATTTTAGGTGATGTGCAGACAACGTTCTCCATTCTTTTAACTATGATCAAACCAATCAGGTGTTCTCTACTATATTTATTTTGTCTGCATTCATTCTTTGTACCCCCTACTAAAGCTTACTAGATACTTGGTTGGATTACCAACCTAAAGAAGTAGACATCAGGAAAGTTAAGAAATTAGTATTTAGTATACTTCCAGGAATCTCTAGGAAAACCCCCAAAAGACTTCAGTAGGTATTCCTGTATTTTTTTCTGGTCATTTTCTGTTTCTCAAATTGAGCTCAATTCATTCATTATTTTGAGACCAAATTTATTATTTTAGATCACCTTGTTTGGGTACTTAGATTACTGTGTTTTGAAATCATGAGCTTGCTTTTAAATCCACAGGACTAACTTTAAAACAGTGTGTACTGTAACTTTCAAGTATTCACTGTAGATAATAAAACAAGTGCCTTTGACATTAAGATATGAATAACACAGGAAATCTAATTTCACTTTTTAAAATTAGGAGGTTAAAATACTGAAAATAGGTTTTTCATACTAAGCTTCATAACAGTAGCCAGGAGTTCCCAAAGTAAATTTCTGTCCCTTTGAAAATCACTGAGGACACAGCAGCCTGAGTTCTAATCCTGAGAAGTTTGTCAGGCCATCCAGCCCTAGCTCTGGCAGACTGGTTCCTAGACAGTAGAGTGCTATCTGCATAGACCGCAAGGCCTGCTTGGAGGCATCCCTGGCTTCCCTGTCAGCATTCCCAGCCTGGTGAAGTGTTGCTGGCAGGCACACCATGGAAATAACTAGTGAAGTCACAAGTCAGGGCACCTGCACAGAAGTGCTTCTCCTAAAGTTCTTAATGCTTACAAATAAAGAACAGGAGAAATAAAAGTGTACTTCTCTCAAAATACTGCTGTTCTAATACAAAGAACTCCCTCACATGCTTTCCTGACTTTTGACAGCAATATTAAGAGGAGACCAATAAATTTAAAAAGGTATATTCCTGATCTGAAATTCCCGTTTTCAAACTATAAGAACCTAGCCAAGGTCCAAGCTTAAGCTCCTTAAAATGGTGCTGCTGGTAGTGGCATTTAGTGCCATTCCCCCCAACAAATCCCCATCTGCTTAAAAGATACATGTATTCAAATCTGACTATGTTAAAGTTCCTTAAACTGCCATCTTGAGAATTTTGAAAAAAAAAATTATAGTAAAGTATCTAGTTAGCTTATTTCCTTTCCCCAAACAAGTTTTTTTTTCCAGGATAGTTTTACCTATATGTGTACTAAACAGCTATTTCTACTTTAATTGTATGCCTYTTAAAAATTGTTTTTTCTTAAAAGTGTCTTAGGAAATTTCTCATTTTGTGGATAAACGCAATGTTTTGAAAGCCAACTTGTTTCGTAGAAAACAAGAGCTATTTTCAGTATGTACAAATAACATTATTGTCACTAAAGATTTTATAATCCTTGATTAGAAACCAGCCCCAACCCCTTTAAGACACCATAGTATTTTCTGCTATTGAAATTTTAATAATAATTCCCCCTTCTTCACTAAGCTGCTTTTTTATTATTATAAATTGTTCTAAATTTATTTTTTGAATTGAACACCTATTTCTGTATAATTTTCTTTCCTCACACATTTATTTCAACTCCTTTAGATTTTTATGTGTGTGTGTGTGAATTTATAAGTTTAAAAAAGATTAGGTACTATTAATACTGTTTTAAAATAGAAAAATGCATATTTTTGTATGATAATCAAATGTAGTAAAATATGGGGTTTGTCTTATTTTTACTGAATAGTTGTTATTATCATGATTATTGTGTCACAGTTCATTGTGCATAATATGAAAAACAACTATTAACAGCCTTAAGTCTGGGCCATTATAAAGCTGCTTGGCATCTCTACGAACAAAAATGACACTGTGGTGACAGAAATGGTAAGTATGGCTGCGTGCAATGTACCAAAGAGAGCTCAACACCCCTAGTCCCCGTGGCCCTGTGGAGCCTGTGGTGATGGAATCCAGGCAAAGGCCAGATAGCATTGGACTTCCTAGTGTTGGACTTGAAGATGTACAGTGTCTCACTGTTGTTTTATGATGGGAACCAATTTTAAAACCAAAATTGTCTAACTTTATTTAAGGAAAGGATATTAATTTGTACTAACATGGTGAAAACTGTTCAACACAACTTTCAACAAAATCTTCTTGCTGTGGCAGTAACCTCAAGTAGTTAAAACTTGACTTAGAAAACAAAACCTTTGTGCCTAAAACTGATGACTTGAGTTGAAGTAGGATGAGTAGGAAAGATCTTGTTCAGCAGAATGAATGTGAAGGAAATCTTGATGCTGAATAAAATTTCCATGAAATTATTTGTCATAATTATTAATATGAAATATGCCAGAGCACAGTGACTGAAGATGTGTAAATACCTCTCTTACCTATACATACTGCCTCATTCACACAGGGTTTTGCTTGCCCTCTAAAATGGAGTCATGATCAGTAACAATTTTTACATTTTAGAAATGGCTGTATTTAGGCCATGTGGGTAGTAATAAACCATTCCCTAACTGGTCCTTCCATTTAATAAACACAAAAACTGGGAGTTAAGTTTCTCCCAGAAGTTCCCAGTCTATGGGAGACCAAGGACTCTAGCCCACATCCTGGGCCTAGCATTTATTTAAATCACCTTTCTRCCTGCTTGAGACCCAACAATGGTGATGAGCAGCCTTGTTTCAACATAGAGGATGAAGAGGTACAACTGCCTTGAAAAATACTGCTCGTGCTGTTGGCAATCTTGCCCTAACTGGTAATAGCAAGCATCTACAGATGCTGTACTATAAGAAGTTAAGAAATTCAAGAGAACTGTATAATTCCTGAGGCAATCTGAATCTGCACTGTTGTTTCTGCCCTTCTTGAGTAGTCACAAAACAAGAATATTTAACAGCTAAATGTGTAAAAGAGTATAGAAAGACTTGAATTCAAGGATCTTCGTTTCCAAATTATTTGTTACTTTTATAGAAGACCTAAGCTGAAAGCTATGAACTACGTTTGCATTTCTGTTTTTGCTTTTATTTTTCTTAAGTCTAATTTATTGGCATAGATGTATCCAGCTCCTAAAATGGCCAACGGGGTTTTGACCATTTATAAAAAAGACCATTACCCACTGTGTGGGATCAATTCATGTATTTCAAACAGACACCATGTTCTCCGAGATACAGACACTATACAATGATCAATTAGTAATTCAGGTTTATAACTGACGATAAAATCAAAATTAAATACAATGTAATACTACTTTATGCTTTTAAAAATATTACTGTATGAGTAAATATTCCCAATTTGATGGCTTTAGCTGAGGCCTTTGCTCTTAGCTCCAACTGCAACCACATGGCAGACTTCTACTTCAGCCCCCAACTTCTGCAGTTCATCCAACCAGATCATTTGCTTTTGTGAAAGTYGATCACTGGGGCCTTTAACTTCTACAAGCTGGAAGATAAATTTTTAAAAATTAGTATTCTACTGAAACTTTTAAAAAATTAGTATTTTACTGAAACTGAACAGTTACCCAGATGTTAGCTATAGTCATTTTCACTGACAATTATTTATAAATGGCTTACTCTATTACACTACTCTTTACATATACAAAGCAATACATATGTAAAAAAAAATTGAGAAATATTTCTGTTCTGTAGAAACTAGGCAGTTATTCATAAGGAATTTGCAAACTGATTCTTAGTATAAAACTATTGAAAATTTATTTTAAAGCAAATATTATTGTTATTCCCCTATTTAAAACCATCCAATTACTTGTTATATTTACAACTGAATCTAAATTTCTTATCCTAACCTACAAAACTAGGATCTGGGCCCTACCAATCATTCCAAAGGCCTCCTTTCAGATTAACCTATGCTCTTTCCAAGGGCCCTCACACTATTCCTCTATTAAAGGACATTTCTCCCTGTTTTTCATATGCCTGATTTCTTATCTTTCAAGCAGCTTAAACCTATCTCACAGGCCCACCATATCTCTAAGGAGATGGATGGAGCTTCATGTWCTTATTTATTTCATGGCAATTTATCACAAGATAGATATTTTTATTACAGATCAGTTCCATAAAGGCAGGAACTCTGTCAGTTCTGTTCACTGCACACTACTGAACTAGGAGACAGAAATAAAAACAATCCCAGGGGAAGTATAGAAAAAAACTTTTTAAAACAGTATTCTGTAGCCTAATGGACATTTAGGGTTCCCAAAGGAAAGAGAGGAGAAAAAAAATTATTTTTACTGAGTAATGGCCAAATTTTTTCCAGATATGATAAACTAGAAACACAAAACTTTAATGAACCCAAGCACAGAAATATCAAGAATAGTACTACACTAAGAAATACAATGATTAAAAAGTATAATCATCAATAAAGGGATTATCTTTAGAAACAGCCAGGATTTTTAAAATGCTAGCTAGAAGAGAGTGAACCAGTATTTTAAAAGTATTAAAAGAACTGTCAACATAGAATTCTGTGCACAGAGAAAATAATCTTCCAAAAATAATGGCTAAATAAAGACTTTTCAGAAGTCCTACAAGACCTAAAAAATATGATTGGAAGACCTCTGCTTCAAGAAGATGTTAAAGGAAATTTTTCAACTAGGAAAATGATACCAAAGGGAAATGTGGATCTGTACAAAGGAATAACAAGCGTTAGAACTGGTCTACGTGTGTAAATAGACCCATTAAGTATTTAACTCAGCTGCAGAAAGCAAAAATAATGTGTTACGGAATTTATTACGTGTAGAAGTGAAATGCATGAGAACACAAATGCTAGGAGGGAGATAGATATAAGAATAATCTGTTGCACAGTTATTCATACCATACATGAAATGTGTAGTATCACTTGAAGGTAGACAGTAACTTTTAAGATTAGTACRACCATGTAAGAAACACAACAGAGTTGTATCCTATAAGTTAAGGTAAAAAAATGCAATCTTTAAAAGAAAGAAAAAGAAGAAAAGGGAGAACAAAAGAGACCTGAGACAAAGAGAAAACAAGTATTAAGACTCAAAACCAAGCATTTCAGTAATTACATTAAATTTAAATATTAAAGACAAAAGTTAGATACCACGATTAAAGGCAAAAGTTAGGCTGGATTAAAAAGACTAAAAGGCAAGATGCAATAATATGCTGCCTGTAAGAAACTCATAGAAATATAAAGATAAATTAGGTTAAAAGTGAAAGAATGGAAGCCAAACATGGTGGTGTACACCTATAATCCCAGCAGCTATTTTGGAGGCAGGAGGATCCTGAGTTCGAAGCCAGCCTCAGCAAAAGCAAGGCACTAAGCAATTCAGTGCTCGGGATGTGATTTGGTGGTCAAGTGCCCCTGAGTTCAACCCCCAATACCGCCCCCCAAACAGTACAAGTGTGGAAAAAGATGTATCATATTAACACTAATCAAAAGAATGCTGAGAAATTTGATTTCTAAATTTAAAAAAAAATTATCAGGAATAAAGGAAGGACATTTCAAAATGATAAAAGGGTTGATTTGTCAAAAGGACYTGACAATTCTAAATTTATGCATCTAATCCTAATTTCAAAATGCATGAAGCAAATATTGATAGAGATGCAAGAAGAAACATACAAATTCACAGTTATAATCAGAGATGTTAATGTTCTTCTCTCAAAAGTTTATAGAGCAAGTTAATAAGGAACAGTAAGGACACAGAAAACTCAAACAACAGTATAAATCAACCTGAGATAATTGATTGACATTTTAAAATACTGTTCCTCTTTCCCAACAAGTTAAACACATATTTAAGTTTGCAAACAGAAGAGTCACCAAAGCAAACCGTGTAAGTAAGACTATATAAAACGTCTAAGTCTCAAATTTGCTAGGATCCTAGTCATATAAAACATGCCCTCTGATTTTAGTAGAGGAAACCACAAATCAACAGCTGAAAGATAACTGGATAAATTGACTCACTTGTAATCAAGTCATGGTTCAAAAAAGAAATCAAAAGGGAAAGAAGAAAGTTGTGGGTTTTTCTTTTTTCTGTTTTTCTGGGTGCTAGGGAATCAAACTCAGGACCCTGCATACAAGCACTCTACTACTGAGCTACATCCCCAGTTCCAAAAAAGTATTTTGAACTGAATGAAAATGAAAACAACATATCAGATTTGTGAGATTCAGGTAAAGCAGTGCTTATAAAGAAATGTATAGTGCTAAACACCTTTATTAGAAACTTTTTAAAAATTGTTCTTTTTAGATATACATAACATTTTGACATATTATACATACATGGAGTTTCACTGGTTGTGTATTTATATATGAACATAGGAAAGTTATGTCTGATTCATTCTACTGTCTTTCCTATTCCTTTCCCCTCTCCCTTCCCTTCATTCCCCTTTGTCTAATCCAATGAACTTCTATTAGAAAAAGAAACTTTCTTTTTCTTTTTTTGCAAATGACAAAGCAAATTTACTTCCCCAACAAATACATTGTGTTTTCCTATGAATAATCCAATATAATCGACAAAGAAATAATCAGTAACTTTATTGAGCATAATAAGTAAGTTTAGGAAACCGACCAAACATATTAAGGTATAACCATGCACCAGTACTACATAATTAGAATATGATATTTGAAACTGGACTTATAAAAAGAAACTTTCAAAGTAATGACTACAACTTCCTTTCTAAGAAACCATAAATAACAATTAAATCCAAAGTAATCAGAAGAATGGAACTTATAAAGTGCAGAAATCAATGAAACAAACACATTAGAGAAAAATCAATGATAACAAAAGCTGGTTCTTTGAGAAAAATCAATAAAATTGATAAATCTCCCACCAGATAGGTCACAAAAAGAAAAGATACAGACCACTAATATCAGAATAAAAGCATGACAGAAATAATGATTCTACAGATATTTAAATAACAAGGAGACACAGGAACAATTTTATGCCAAAAAAATTCAACAACTTACATGAAATGGACAACTTCTCAAAAGACACAAACTCCCAAAGTTCAATCAATATAACATGAATAGCTCTATGTTGATTAAAAAAGAAATGTAGAGTTTTGAAGTTTCCCAAAAAGAAAACTCCAGGCCTGTTGGGCTTCCCTGTTTAATTCCACCAAAGATTTTATGGACTAATAATAATTGTAAACAAACTATTCCTGAAGACCAAAAATGTTATCTTCCATCCCATTCTATAAAGGCCAGTAATATATTGCCCTGAAACCAAAACTCARCAAAGATATTATAAGAAAACTACAGATCAATATCTTTCATGAACATATATGAATAAATTATAATATTTTACAAAATCAAATCCACACTTTATCACAATTATTATGTGAGGCTTATCTAAGAAATGCAAGTTAGGTTGTAAGATTGAAAAATCAAGTGGTAGAGCATTTACCCAGCATACAGGAGGTCCTGGGTTTGATCCCCAGCACTACAAAAACAAAACAAATAAATAAAGATTCCAAACCAAGCTCTTCTGGGAAATCACCTGGAAGATGAACCATCATGGCCCAGAGGAACTGCAGAATCTTCAGAAAGACTTTAGGATATAGAATAAATCCATCTACATTCTGGGTACCAGAAGAGAGAAACTTGCTGAAATGATCTTAAAAACAATCCTAGAACTGAGCCAGTTTTCCAAAGTGTTTCCAGTTTTCTCACTGGCTGGAGAAAGCTGACTTTTGATGAGGAAGCCCAKGATACTGTGCATGAAGCAGTGGTAGACATTGTAAAGTTGGATGCTTTCAAAGTCACGATGTTGGATACTGTTGTCTGGGTACCAGAAAAGTACCCAGGATGGAAAAATTTGTTTATTTTGACTAAGATTATGTGCTAAAAGTCTGCCACGTTATCCAGAGTAGAAGGGTGCAAACATTTCAACCTGCTTTTATCCAAAGGTACAGATAAGTTGAGCAATTTTTAATATCTACAAGTTAAGGGAGAAGTGGAAGCCAGGGCTAAAGAAATATTTAATTTTATTGTTACTCAGTATTTAGGCCTGGAGTTCTATTAAAAAACAGGCAAGAATCTCACTGGAGTGAATGGTTGATGGGGAAGTTCTTGAGTCTCTTGGGCCTCTGGCTGCTCTTGGCCTGTGGTGACTTGTGGCTAGAGTGATGTTGAACAGCTGTTGAGATCAAGCAATGAGTAGATGGAATTCTGAATAAAAGGGCCAGCCAAGACTTGAGGAAGCCAACAGTTTCCTTAAGCCATAGCCAAAATGAAGAAATGCTTCTTACTATGAAGCTCAATACCCATCACCAATTTCTGGGTCTAAAATGTCTTTACTTTTGTCACTTCAGTATCCTCAGCCACCCATATCCAATCAAGAAAGGATTATGTTCTATATTCCTACTGGTTCAAGCCTGATTGTACATACCCTCACTCACACCCTTTGAATCATAATTTGGGGGATGTGGACACAGGAATCTGTAGTTTTCTGTTGCTTTTTTTTTTTGTACCAGAGACTGAACTCAGGGGCACTGGACCACTGAGACACCTCCCAGCCCTATTTTATATTTTGTTTAGAGACAGGGTCTCATTGAGTTGCTTAGCACCTGCTGTTGCTGAGGCTGGGCTCTGAACTCAGGATCCTTCTGCCTCAGCCTCCCGAGCCACTGAGATTACAGGCATGTGCCACCRTGCCTWSCAGGAATCTGTAGTTTTCTTTGAACTTCCTTGGGTGGTTCTGATAACCACTGTTTGGAAGGCCTTATGTACCATCTCAATGAGCTCTGCTGTACAGTTTACCATAGTCCTGTCTTTGACTTATACAAGTACTAATTAATTATACATAACTGCTTACCTGACTATTGTGTGCCTTTGTAACTTCTTTAGAATATGTTAATAAAATATTTAAAGATTCAAAAACCAATGTAAATTATGTTATTAACATAGTAAAGAGAAAATCATATAATAATGTCAAATTTTTAAATATTTTTCATTGCAGATGGACACAATGCCTTTATCTTATTTATTTACTTTAATGTAGTGCTACAGATCAAACTGAGTGCCTCTCATGAGTGAGGCAAGCACTCCACCACTGAGCCATAACTCCAGCCCTAATTTTTTAAAAACATTTGACAAAATCCAACTAACTCCTGATAAAAACTCTTAGAAAACTTAGATATAAAGGAAAATCTCTTAATCTGATAAAAGGTACTTACAAAATATCTGCATCTGACACAATACTTAATAATGAAAGACTAAGAGCTTTCCCTTAAGATCAGAAACAAGGGATGCCAGTCTTCCCACTTACAGTCTATATAGGAGGTTCTGCCAGTGCAATCAGTCAGGAAAGAGGAAAGAAAATATCAATACTAAAAAGGAAGAAATTAAGACTCTCTTTCTTAGCAGACAATCTGAATGCTAATGTAGAAAATCCAATGAAATACACCAAAAAGTTTTCAGAATACAAATCAATGTGCAAGAATCAACTATATTTCTATATAGTAGGAGCAAGCAACTGGAAGTTGAATAAGTAGCATCAAAAATATAAAATACTTAATAAGGATCAACTTATATTTTAATTTCTCTTAGAAATGTTTTTAGTTTTCAGTGTTCAGGTTTTGTATATCTCTTAACAGGTTGATCCTTATTAAATATTTTATATTTTTGATGCTGCTTATTCAACTTCCAGTTTGCTTGCTGCTACTATATAGAAATATAATTGATTCTTACATATTGATTTGTATTCTGAAAACTTGATATGTCCTTTTATTAGTTTAAGGACCTTTTTGATATCTGACACCAAAAATATGATCCATTAAAGAAAGGTAAGCTGAACTTTGTCAAGATTTAATACTTCTGCTCTTCCAAGACACTATTATGAAAACAAAAAGAGAAGCCATAGACCTAGATGAAATACAACCGAGACTTGTATCCAGGAAATATATATATATATATAATATACACACAAGTTTATTTTTAATCTTGAAACTCAATAAGAAGCAACCAACCAACCAGTGCAGCATAGCAGGGCAGGGTTCAGGGTAGGCAAGTAAGGYACCCCATGGACAACAACTGAGGAGGTGCTCACTCTCAGGGAGCATAACAAAGCTCTTTGTGTCTACACCCTATGGGACCCACTCCCTCTGAGTGTGTGCCGGACCTGGTGACTTATTCTGAGAACAGAAACAACAAGAGTGATGGATTGCTACTTCCATGATGAAGGTGCAGGAGACCTGGACTTCCATCAGGCTCAATGGCTCCTCTCACTCACCTGCTCTGATGAAACAAGCTACWTTGTAGTGCACAGCCTGAGGGAGGACACCCCCTGCCCAAACCCCTGCCCTTGGYCCAGGAGCTCTTGAGGAATTCAGTTTTGGAAGCAGCCACACAAGTAGTGTCTAAAGTGAGGCCTCTGATTCAGTTGCAAATAAAATTACAAACATAACTTTCCATTCTGGTTCCACTGACCTTAAAACGGTGATTCTGGGAGTTCCACACCACCAAGTCAGGGAGGCCCCCTCGGCAGTGTCGGAAGTCAGCAGCCAGTCGCCTGCACACACCACTGAGGATGGGACCCCCCAAGCAGGAGACAAGATCCTGAACACAAAACACATGAATATTTCATGTTGTATTTCATCCTCAAATAGGCTTCAGCAACTATGAGACAAAGAACAACTCCAGAGTAGTCCAACAGAAATGGATTCCAGGTACACCAAAGATTGTTTTGCTGCTTATACAGGGACCAGAGCCACTGCCAAAAATCCCCACTAATGAGCTCTGGGGAAGCAGTTTCTCTTCAGTCAGTTATCAGGCTTCTGCCCTGTGTGAACATTCTGGGGAACATCTGAGGAAGAAGGAACTTTAGAGTCAGAACTCAGGAATATGACTGCAATGACTCATAGAGGCCAGTAGTTAAAAAGAGACAGAAAAGAGTCCTGTCAAGCAAAAAGAAGCTATCTGTATGTGTGTGTGTGTGTGTGTGTGTGTCCCTCTCTTTCTCTCTCTCTCTCTCTCTCTCTCTCTCTCTCTCTCTCTCTCTCACACACACACACACACACACACATACACACCTGTGTGCATTTTGATAGTTGCCAAAAAGACACCCTGGACCAGGGAGACATCACTTTGGGACCAGCTCTTGCCACAAAGATGAACTGTTACCTGAGCTTGCCGAAGAGAAGTGAAGCGGTCCCAGCTGACAAGAGAAGCCACTCTGCCTTCCTGGGCCTGCCATGTGGCTGCCACCCAGGCTCGCAGGTTCTCTGCAGGGGCACTGTGAATCATCTGCAGTCTGGCCTCAAGGGCTGGGCCCCTGCTGGTGAAGAAGCTGTCTGTGCACAAGTCCAGTGGGGATGCCTGTGTCACAGAGAAAGCAAGCTCTCACAGCATGCCTAGAGAGCAGACTCCTCAACAATACTCAAAACCTATGCAATTTGGAAAATGGCCAGTTGGTTAAAACATTCTTCTTCTCAAAAGGTTTGCAAAAATTATCTGATATATATAACCAATATGAAAGGAATTTATTACACAAGTGGGTGTGAATCACAGGCACATGCAGAAGGGTCTCCTCATGAGCAGCACTGAMGACTTACCTGGTAGGCGTTTCTGAAGACGTCTGGTATCCCATCCATGAAGATTATATCCCACAGAAGGAGGCCATACAGGGTGCTGAAGGTAGACCCTTCTCCATGGATCCCTGCAACAAATCATACACATGGAGGAAAAATCAGTTTTGTCTGTTTTCTTTTTCGAAAATGCCACTGTCATCTGCTGCATATTCAATTTCAAGGAAATAATAAATATTTTTAGYCTGAAGAAAATGCTAGTTTCATGCCATTCCTAAATCATTTTCTTATATTATTTGCATACAGAAGCCCACTGAAGGGTGAAAATCTTAGTAATCATGGAAAAGTTCAAATGAACATTGCAARGCCACAAAGCAGTGTTTTTCACTTTAGTGAATAACCTAAGGAACATGTTTTCTTAAAAAAAAAATACTAATAATAAAAAAGCAGGTTCCCTCCTCAGCTCTGATTTAGTGGTGGAGGCTGAGCTGGGTACAGAATCCACAAGCAGGCTCTGTGTCAGGCATCCCCCAATATCCCTCAAGAATATGTCCATAAAGGGACTGACAGGAGGAGACTGGGGAGCAGTGGCCATGTCCACACCCCCAGACTTAGCAGGTGCTGCTACACTTCACCTCACTCACCTACAYACTATGTTGCTTTGGCCTGAACAAGGTCTTCCCAGTGTTTCCAGTATTCAAGGCTTTTATAGAAGCTTTCAGTCTTAAAAACCATTTAATTTAGATACTCCATCCTCATGTCCCACACACATTACTAACTGGGAGAATACCTCAGAGAAAGAAATAAAGTGCCAGATCACTGAAAGCCAAAGGCAGAGTCCATAACCAGATAAGAGTGGGCTTTGGCTGTTTTGCTAAATGGGATACCATTAAATGGGTTGGTCATTCATCCACCAACCATTCTTTACCTCTCCTTTGGCTGATATGTTTCATTCCATAATAAAATTAACTTAATTTTTAAAAAATGGGTTTTGGCATAGCCCCATACCTCTGTCTCCAGAGAGTTCCTGTTTGCCAAGCTATTCTGAGCTGAGCTTCTCTGTATATCACCACACCCAAAAGGGAAGGCAACCACATGGATACCTCTCTGCACATTACTGCTTTGGCTAAAGGAGGCACCAAACAACAGACYCCACTTCTGACACACTATGCACACTGGCAAGAAAGTTCCTCTGGCTGGCCAGACTCTTGACACTGCAGGCCCTGGTCCACATGTGTAAGGTCACAATGAGCACAGGGCAGAAAGCCAAGACCAGACAACACCACTCATCTGCTTGGGAGGCTGGCCTGAGGGGCTGCTTGCTCACTATGTGCCTTCCTAGGCCTGCCATGTGGCTGCCACCCTGGCTCGCAGGTTCTCTGCAGGGACACTGTGAATCATCTGCAGTCTGGCCTCATGGGCACAAAAAAGTGCTCTTGGGACAGAGACCAGAGTCTCCATCAGCAGAGTATATGACCTGTTCCTCTGTCCTGCATTCCTGAGCTGTGCCAGACTCTCTTTGTTCTGTCCCTGTCTTAGTTCTAGCCCCTGGTCTCTGTAGCCTGTCTCTATGATTCAAAAGAACAGAGGCAAAAACAGGACTTGTTTGGAGCCACTGGCTAAAGCCTTGAACTTTACTAAAAAGCTTTGTACCAGGATACTGGGCTCCTGTCCTGCCAGGAAGAAAGTTAGGCCTTGACTTCTAATCAGCTTCCTGTCCTTTTGTATATACTGCTCAGTCAGGAATATGGAGGCCAGAATTGTTCCTGAACTTCTTGGCATGTGGACTCCAACTGAAGTCATTTTTGGTGCAATCCTTCTGAGAAATCCAGAAATAATCATCCCTAAAGGGGTTTGAGATTACCCTTATGTGAAATCCCCTCTAGACTAAAGCCCAGCAAGTATTCAGCTCATTTTCATTGCATCAAAATTAAAAAATGAAAAATATATCTATACAGAAATATATTTTTATAAAAACTATTTAGTATTCTATGAAGAGAATTTTCCAACAGTTTGTCAGGGTAATGGCTTGGTTTACAGCCTGCCCTTTCTTTCAGCAACTGCCCAGCTTTCACATCTCCTATGACATTATCTGGGAGCTGGAATTCTCATTCTGTTCTTTTCTGTCTAGGCTTTTCAGGCCTACTGTATCTCTGTTTTCACTGGCCTCCACACTTCTTCCCCAATAGCATCACCCTTCCCTATAATAAAGATTATATAGATTAATCTTAGCACTCACCAGAAAGAAACCMATATTTTATAAAATTCTATCTTGTAGTTATCCTTCTAAAACTGTCATTAATCTGAACACTCACATGATGCTGAAATGGAGTAATGTCTTGATTTTTACCTATCTGAAGATATCGAGTATTTTTTCACACTAGTGTCCCTACAGCACAGGCACAGGGAAAATGCTGCCTGGACGTGAGGATGGGAAAGACTTGTCCCCAGGAGTGGCCCATGTGAGCTGCAAAACAAGTACCATGAGAGGACACCTGGGGTCAGCTTCCAAATTCCAGGGGAAATCGGTAGGAAAAGARAGAAAGAAGACTAGAGCTGGGTGAGTTTAGAAGATCAGAAAGGTTTTCCAGTTTTGTTTTTTTTTTAGTTATAGTTGGACACAATACTTTTATTTTCATTTGTTTTTATTTTTATGTGGTGTTGAGGATTGAACACAGCACCTCACATGTGCTAGGTGAGCATTCTATCACTGAGTCACAACCTCAGCCCCAAGGTTTTCCACTTTTGCAGAGTCATGGTCACTATCCTCCATAATAAAAAGTTTCATAAAAATCAAAAATCAAAACAAAACATTAGAGCCAGGCCCTCAGGGTATCTCCAGGACAACTAGCCCTACTTTATTCCTTATCTTAAATATAGAACAAAGGAGATTCCTCTGTAATTCTTCCCTCCTTGATTTACTTTTATTCTTCTACTCAGTACTAGATTCTACTAAGGGCCAGGAATGACAATTTTATTTTACCAATTATAAGGCAAGTAAGTGCTCAATGTCTTCACTTGACCCTGAACCTTAGATAAAGCACTGAATTTACAGTGAGACCAAAATTCTCCGAGACCAAAATCAAAGAAAGAATAAAAGAGGGGAAGAGAAGCTGATGTTGGTGAATACCCAAACAGAAGGAGTTTCTAAGTGACCTAAGAAATGAGTCAGTTATTTTGTAAAAAATGAAACCCTTATCTGTTGTTATGTAATAGTGCTTGTGACAAGAGACATCCAAAGCAGCTCTCATTCTGAGTGACTCCACAAACATACAGCCTGCACAAGCAGGATCCAACCATAACACATGTGGTCCACAACTGTGCCTCACTCCTGGGAGGTACAGCCATGGCCAACAGGCCCTTCTGAGCTGTGGTATGGGAGGGCTCATCCTCTATCATGTCTGTGCATACAAGGAAGAAGCCCTAAGAGGAAAGCTAACACCTCAAATCTACTAACTGACTGAGTGAAATGCCTGCAACAACCATGATATGAAAAGGAAGAGCAAGCACATTTAAACTAACTCATGTATATTTTTCTCAAATGGCCAGTCCCAGCTCCAAAATATGAACTTTGTCATAGTCAAATGTGCACTTCCTCTCTTAGACCTGCTCRGCATATTCATAAACTCACCAGGTGGAGCCCCCAGAGATTGACTGTTGTCACAGACTGAAATACCCTAACATTCTTAAGAACAGCACACAGTTGGGCAGGAGGCAACCAGAGGTCAGCTCCACTCATTCTTGAGTCAAGAGGTAGAGGGACAATGGATTCTCCAAGGAAATGAGGTGGCAGGACTTGGAGTCCAAGTTCATCACTCTAGGAGGAGCAGATCCTTCAAGCTCCTTTCATTTATGACCTGATTCTGGGTCTGATAACCCTCTCAGAAGCAGCCCAGCCCTCAGTCCCTGCACCAGGTTTGACATCAGGCAGCCTCTCTGGCAGTCCTCTGCCCTTTCTTTTTTGTTTTATACCGGGGATTGAAGTCAGGGGCACTTGACCACTGAGTCACATTCCCAACCCGATTTTGTATTTTATTTAGAGACAGGGTCTCACTGAGTTGCTTAGTACCTCACCGTTGCTGAGGCTGGCTTTGAACTTGCTATTCTCCTGTCTCAGCCTCCCCAGCCGCTGGGACTGTAGGCGAGTGCCACAGCACCCAGCATCCTCTGCCCTTTCTTACTGCTCACTAACAGCTATGACAGCAAAGACAGTCTCTAATGTCCCACCAGAGAACACTGATCTTCACAGGCATTAGGAGGGGAATACTGGGGAATGGGAAGAAGACCCCCTTTAAAAACTGTAGCTAGTAAAACTCTTTTCTATACTCCTTGATCAGCAGTATCTTTTTTCCCCCCCAGCAGTACAGAGGATTGAACAGGGCCCAGTATATGCCAGGTTAAGTATTCTACCAAGGAACTACATCCTTAGCCCTTTTTATTTTATTTCAGTATAGGGTCTCACCAAGTTGTTGAGGCTAGCATCAAATTTGTGATCCTCAAAAGCAGCTGGGCCTCGCTTACCAGTGTATTCTACCATGGGCAGAGGAAAGAGAGATGATGGCAACCCACTATTGACAAACCATCAGGAAATGCTGTTCGCCTATTGTCTGGAATAGGTGAAATGTTTTCTGTTTACCCTGGTCAAAGCCGTTGCATCTGTAATAGTCCAGCGCCAGCTCCTCCACAGAGCACAGTACTGTGGTGGGGTCAGTAGTATCCCCAGACTCCATGACAAATACAGACTTGCCCATCCCACGCTGTGGGCACAGCCTGCCCGTGATGGTCACCTGGGACAGCAGCAGAAGAACATCCATTAGCTTCACTTCACCTCAAAGTACCTGTAAACCTGCCTGTAGAGTCCTGGGGATAAACCTTCCTAATGCTAAAGCTGTGCTTTTAACAGAGTACAAAGTGTGTGACCCACACTGGCACACCTATAAGGTTCTGGCCTTTGGAAAGCATCTGTCATGGGAGGAACTCTCCAGATCCCCCATTTCCAGGAGAAACCACCAGATGTTCTGAGCTCCTGCTCAAAAGTTCAATCACTTAATTCAGGTGTGACCACACCAGCTGACCCATTCTTATTGGCGAGAGAGTATTAGAATGAAAATGGGAGCAATGGCCATGTCATTATCCAAAATGCACATTAGACTGTTACATTTCCTAATGAAAATGCACACTAAAACTGTTCTTAGGTTGCTTTCAGTTAGAAAAACAAACAAACAAGTACACGTGTTTAAATCCAAAGCACACAAAAAGGGCTGAGGAGGATGCTCAGAGGTAGAGCATGCACTTAAAACCGCAATACCCTGGGTTCAATCCAGTACTCAAGACAAACAAAGCACCCAAAGGAAACTACTTACATGTTTAACATCTTCAACAGCAATTTCTGGCAGCTGATGAAAGAGGTGCTTATACTTTTTACAGCTTGGAGACTCTCGCAGGCGCATGGCTCTCTGATAAAGTGAAAGACGGTGTCCTGTCCTTACCTCTGGATCTGCCAGCCCTTTAATAATGCACCTGATAGCCTAGTAAATAACATGTCACATATCAAGATCCTAAAAAACCCTATGGCAGCATCTACTAATTTAGCTTAACAGAGTAAGAAAATTTCACTACTAATTATTCAGTTTTACTAATATGCAAGTAAGCAAATAGCACTTCTAGAGATACAAACTATTTTCTTAGATCTTATTCTGATATTTTTAACATACAGATTAACTATAATCCTCATTGTTAAGTGCAGGAGCACAACCAGCATGTTATTCATTATTCATGGGGACAGAACATCCCATGGCCCCTTCCTCACCAAGAGCATGCCCCTCAGGACATCCCTGTATCATGGGCTAGAAAAGAATTTAGAGGAACACTTGGGTCTATGGTTCTCAGAATTTCTTCTGGGTGAGGGGCAGTGAAAGAAAATGTGTGTCCCACCCTTGATCTACAAAATGAGACAAATTCCACAACAGGCACCTAGGAAACTGACCAGTCAAAACTTCTAGGTGGCTCTCATGTAGAGTCAGAACCGCAGAGCTGGGCCTAATTCCTTATTTACAGGAAAGGTACCTAGAGTTTGGAGGAGTCTAACATGTTTCCCAAGGTTGTTCCAAGTTGGACAAATAAACAAAGAGAAATACTGAAAACTAGAAAAAGGTACCACTTTATTCCTGTTATGATGGGTGAAATCAGAAAATAACAAGCATTGGCAAGGATATAGAGAAATTGAAATCCTTGTTCCTTGTTGGTGGAAATATAAAAACTGCAAACACTCTRAAGAACAGTTTGGCAGTTTCTGAAGCAAAAATAAAATTACCAAAATGACTCAAAAATCCACACCTAGGAATATTCCAAAAGAAATCAAAACAGGGACATAGACATACACTTGTACATGCATGTTCATGGGGGCATTATTAAAAACAGCCAAAAGGTGGAAGCAACCCAAGCATCCGTTTATAGGTGACTGGATAAACCAAAGGAGGTTTATATACAATGAATTATTTATAATTCATCCATAAAAATGAAGTTCTGACATGCTGCAACATGGATGAAGCTTGGAAACATTATGCTAAGTGAAATAAKTCAGACACAAAAGGGCAAATATTGTGTGATTCAGCTTTTTTGAAATATACACAAGAGGCACATTCACAGAAAGTAAAGTGAGGTTTGTGGAAGGAGAAAACAGAGAGAATTTACATAATGATTACAGAGTTTCTGTTTGGAGTGATAGACACTAGAGTAATGCTTATACAACATGGCATAATCAATGCCACTGAATTGTACACTTAAAATTTGTTAAAATGACAAATTTTACATATGTTACATATCTTACAGTAAAAAAAAAAATTTAAAAAGAGAGAAAAGAAACTTAAATATCAATGAAGGCTCGGGCCATGAGGAATTGAGGGTATAAAAGGAGTCAACAGTGAGAACGGGCCATCTGAGAGTGTTCTGTACCTTGGCAAGAGACAGCAGCARCAGAGGCCTGGAACAGGGAGGGAATAGCCAGACTAGCTCCACCCTGGCTCTGGGGCCCCTGGCTGGCCCCTGGYAATCTGCAAGAATAAGCACTCTTGCTAATGGCTTCTGCTCTAGGGGCTGACATAAAGCACATAAGGAATAGTAACATGATCATGAGGCCTGTGAGTGTAGCCAGTGAGACTGCTGAGAAAGGTTAAAAGGAACTATAAGTTTCTTACTATCAATAAAAAATAAGCTCAGTAGCCTATCTACCCCTGTGACTCTGAGGGAAGGCTCCTGTGAGCAGCACTATGAACCAGGGAGAGAGCTGCAACATCCTTGAGCCTTTACTGTGAACAAAGAAAGCAGCAGCAAGAGCACAAGCTCTGTCTCTTTCACGCTTAGTGCTGGGCCAAGAGACGCCTTCTCTTGCTACTGGAGCCTCAAAGAACACTGGCAGGAAAGGGGGCACCATGCCCACCTCCACAACAAAACAGCTTCCAGTGGCTTTTCACAGGTACCTGAGGTAACAAGGCACTTTTTCAGTGGAAGGCAGCAAAAACACTACATCACAGTTCCACATTCCATGGCCAATTTTTTCCACTCCTGTATCACCCTGATTCATTTAATATGCCACTGGAAAAAACAAAACCTCCCAGAGGCACAGTCCCCTCCATTCAACTTGAATTCAGGCTGGAATGTAGACAGGGAGGGGGACCCGCAGGCAGCAACACAAAGAGCCACTGTTGTCGCCTGGCTCAGCAGCAGCAGCTCTGAAGCCCCACCCTGCTGGATATAGTGGCAGCAGAATCCCTCTACTTCCAAGTCCCCAAGATGCCAGAATAGGGAGCCCTGGTGCCCTCAAGAGGTGGTGGCCTGTTTACAGTTGAGACAACACATGTCCTAGGGGCACAGCAAAATACCTCACAGAAGTACAAAGAGTTACTCATAAAGCACTTGCAGTTAAGATAAGGAAAGTAACATTTCCATCAGGGCAACAAGCAAATAAAATCACTATTTCCAAAACAAAAACATTACCTTAGGTACTGGGGATGTAACTTCCTGAAAATGCTTGCATAGCATGAGTAAGGTTGTGGTTCCAACCCCAGCACCACAAAACAAAAACAAAACAAAACACACTGTCRTGAAGGCACCTGTTGAGGGCTGATCATCTCCCTTGAGTTCTAGATCCTAACTCCTGAATCCCAACACAGTCCACTGTGAACCCATCTTCCAAATAATGGAAGAAAAGATAGCAGACTTCCTCTCTTTAAAGGTTGTGTTATTTCTACTTGGATTGGAACAAGTCAGACAAAGAATGTTAACAAAAAGAAATAAATATTCTAATTATATTCAGAATATAACAGGCTGGAGGTATAGCTGCGGGTATAGCTCAGTGGTAACTGCTTGCATATTAAGTGCAAGGTCCTGGGTTTGACCCCCAGCACCAAAATGAATGGATAAAGTACTTAATAATTTGCCATATTTAAAAAACTCATTCAGAAGTAACAAAAGCATTGGGTATATTCTTGCATACCGGTTCCAAGCGCTTCAAGTGCTGGTGTAAGTTAAGAGCCAGTCGATCCCACCATCTGCCTCTGCTATCAGGGCAATAAATTTTCTGTGACAAAAGGTTTTCAAGTTCCTTAACAGCTTCCTATTGCAACAATAACAGAGAAAGCCCATTAGACTTAAAAAAAAAAAAAAAAAAAAACAACTTAATTTTATTTAGAAGACAACATGACTGTAAACTATATTTATAATGCATATCTTTTCTAAAGCCAAGGATCAGAGCTGACAGAAGAAGTGCTTGGAGATGCCCTTCTGCAGTAGACATGAATTCCCTGAAGTTTCCTTGTTTTACAGACAGGTCCTCTACGGGCTAGCACTGAGTTTTTGGTGGTCGTGGGTACCGAAGGTCATTCTCTTCAAGTCACATTGGCCAGCACAGAAGCAGACAMACTATGCAGGGCTGAAAAACTTACATACGTATGGGAACCCAGCAGGTCAGAGGACCCACAGAAAGAGGAATTTAAGGCAGGCAGGCCGGTGATAACGGGTGTGCTCATCCAAACACTCCACTTCAATAAGAAGACTCTCTGGTCAAGATATATGTAGACTCTTTAGTCATTCTTTTTTTTKKGGGGGGGGTGTGGGTAGGGGCAGCAGGTACCAGGGATTGAACTCGGGGGCACTCAACTACTGAGTCACATCCCCAACCCTATTTTATATTTTATTTAGAGACAGGGTCTCACAGAATTGCTTAGTATCTTACTCTTGCTGAGGCTGGCTTTGAACTAGCAATCCTCCTGCCTCAGCCTCCCAAGCCGCACCACCACATCCAGCTCTTCGGTCATTCTTAATTTTCTGTGGTTCATATCTCTTTCAAACATGTAATGTTTACCCCAGAAAAATACAAAACTCCTGTATACATGCAATTCTGGGGTTCACAGCTGCCCTAAAACTCATCATTGATACTATTTGAGATTCACAGATCCCAGGTTAATACCCAGCTTAGTATATCCTCTTCACAAAAACATCATTCTTCAACAAAAATATCAAGTACAACAAAAGGGAGCTCTGGCAACTTCACTATGTTTAGTATGAAAACCCAATCATGTTTTTGATTTGTAACTGTAGATTATTTTCAGACAATACATGGCACCTGACAGGGAAGCTTAAGGAGACTTGAGAGTTCCACCTCAGTGATTTGGGGAAATCTCCCAAGTCCAAGTCKTGCACAAAGTCCTGAAAGAGATTGAGTCGTAGGCTGTAGAGACTTGTCCATGATCCTTACTGGGCTTTGTCCACGACCATTCCAGTACAGTGACTCATTAACTCACGAGCAAACAAAACAGCTGTTGGTCTTCTGCTGTCCTCTTTCTACTAACCCGAGAGACAGCAGGTTACTTACTTTAAACACTCTCATTGTGTTACTGTGTGATGACCATGTATGCAGCAAAGCAGAGAGCCTAGCAGGTTTCCTTCACATGTTTATTGCTGCCATCTCAGAATAGGGTAGGGGAGGGACTGGTGCTCTAACCTCATACATGTGAAGTCTCTGCAAGATTTCAACAGTCCGAGACAAAATCCTTGTATATATCCACCCRACAGTAAAACACCGAAGAAAGAGTGGTAACTCCTCATGGTATCTAAAATAAAAATGTATACCAGTAGTTTTAGTTTACTTGTTATATAGAATTATAAGTGAAAAGCAGATCAAATTCCTATATTATTTTTTATTTTGTTCTTATCCTAAGGATATGAACCCAGGAATACTCTACTACTGAACTACAACCTCAGCCCTTTCTATTTTTTACTTTGAGACAGGGTTTCACTAAATTGCTGACGTTGGCCTTGAACTTGGGATCCCCTTGCTTCAGCCTGAGTAGCTGGGATTCTAGGTATGTGCCACCATACTCAGCTGAATTCTTGTCTTTTAAGTATTCTAAAATTGTATACAATTTCTTACACCACAAACCTACATTCTCATAACTAGTCACCCTATCCCAGGTCACTCAGATGGCAGACAGAGATGAGAACAATATGTAATATTCTAAATCAAGGTCAACAAACCCCAGCCCACAGGCCAAATCCAGGGCCAACTCCCTAATTTTCTAAGCTAAAATGGCTTTTACCTTTTTAAAAAATATATATTATAAAATGTATTTTGTATTTCCTTTTCTGTATGCATTGCTATTACCTATTTTTGTTTTTAACCGACACATAARCCCACAAAAACTGTACAAGTTAGTGGAGTACTATGTATTGTTTCGGTGACCATGTAAAATCAGGTTAAACATACCTCTCTCTTCAAACATCAATTACCTGTTTATGAAAAACACATTCAAAATCCTTCTAATTTTTTGAGATGAACGTTCAAAATTTCTTTCTTTCTTTTCTTTTTTCTTTTTATAGTTGTAGATGGACAGAATGCCTTTATTCTACTTGTTTTATTTTTATGTGGTGCTGAGGATGAAACCTAGTGCCTCATGCATGCTAGGCAAGAGCTCTGCCACTGAGCTACAGCCCCAGCCCACAATCATCGTTTTCTTTATCAAGCTACTTCTTACTGCTATCAAACTATAACTTAGTACCCCTTGGTCAACTTTTCTCCAGTCCTTCCTCCTCCTAGAATTTTACCATTTTAAATAAAATACACCAAAAGGAGAATAATACTCCAAGGCATGTGAAAATTAACATGGAACTCAAATTTCAGTGTCCACATATACAGTTTTCTAGAATACAGCCATGCTCATTCATTTCTTTCTCTCCAGTACCTGTTTCTACACAATGGCAGAGTAAAGTCGCTACCACACAAAATCAAAGCCTCGAGTATGAATTCTCTGGCCTTTGGTAGAGGAAGGTTCTCAGTCTGTTCTACAGTAATCTAACTTCCTGACTATGATTTTCATTATAAATGTTTCCTAAATGTTTTTCTGAAAGAGGCACTGAGTAAACCTAATTATTTTCTGATCACCATACAACAATAAAGGAAAACATTTCTTAATAAATACCAAAGATGTTTAAAATTTATTAAACTAAACAATAAAAGATCACRCTTTGTGCTCTTGGAACTTTCAGTGCTCACTTACACTGTCTTGAGTTTTCACTGCAAAAACCTACCTATTACATGCCACATCTCTGTCCTGCTGCTGGTTTCCCTATCATTTAAATTCAGCTCTCTGATACTCAGGGAAGCCAACACGCTTAAAGATGGCAAGCTAAACACTGAGTAAGTATTCACTTGAATGTCTATTGTTCAAGGATCTGAGTTATATAAAATTTGCTTAACTCTTCATGGGGAAAACATTCAAARTCCAGTAGAAACTTACAGCTCTACCCTGGTTTGACCAAAGACCAACTGGAGGATAATATTCATGAATAAAATTACCTTGAGTAGTTGGAACAAAATGATCAACAATAAATTTTGGCAGGTATCTTAAAAAAAAAAAAATCTTGCTAAAGGTCTGGCTCAGTGGTAGAGCTCTTGCTTAACATGTGAGGCCCTGAGTTCCATTCCCAGCACTGAATGAAGAAGGAGGAAAAAAAAACCTCTAACCTTAGGGAAGGGTGATTTTTCAGWTTGTTCCAATCCCTTTTTGCACTTTGAGAGAGCTCCTTAGCTTCTTCCCAGTTCCCACTGGCCATCGCGGTAGAAATGTCACTCAGCATGTGCGCAGCTGCTGCATATCTGGGGAAAAATGCCATCCAAATTTCAAATGTTAAGGAGTGTTTCCATAAAAATTACTGCATCCTAGCTGCTAGATCTAACTCTGAAGGATAAAAGTGTGTTTTGTTAAAATGTGAAGGTTATTTAAATTGTATTCTAGCACTAATTTAACATAACTGGAAAGACCCTAAAGAACTGATATAGGCTGCCCAATTTACACTGTATGATTACATAATACATTTCACTGTATAAATGTGATGTGATATTAATCAGTTCATCATTCCTATGTTTTGAGACTCTTCCATTCATTCAACAATTTGGCAGCCACCAAATAAACACATAATTGACTTCAGAATTATAAGAAGATGTCAATTTGATAATTTAATCATTTGTAGTCAAAGGTAGCCAGAGGCATGCATTCCAAGTTAAGAGAATTACTTAGAGGTTGGGGTTGTAGCTCAGTGGTTGAGCGCTTGCATAGCATGTGTGAGGCACTGGGTTTAATCCTCAGCACCACATAAAAATAAAATAAAGGTATTATTTCCACCTACAWCTAAAAAATAAGTGTTAAAGAAAAAGAGAATTATTTAGATTATTTCGAATATAACTAGGAATTCACTGTAGGAGACAGCAATGCTGAAACTTTATAACACCATTTAGCTGAAAAAATATGACTTTGATGACTTTTCTAGATATCAAAATTAAAAACATTTGACCAGTGGATTCCATAGCACTTTTGGGTACATATTCACTGTATTTGACTCATGTCTTAAAGCATGTAGTACCAGTATGTACAAACACTACACATTAAGAGGAAAGGAAAATGACTCCAAATGTAAAAATCTGCTTACAAACTCTTAGATCTAATAATTTCATGACTTTGCAAATGGATAATCCTGAGGTGAAAAAAAAAAAAAAAAACAGAAATCAAAACCTGCTTGATCCATACTCCAATTCCAAGAGGCCACCTGAAATCAACCCTGTCAAACTTCACCCATYTCCTTCCATCAACACCAGGCCAACCCTTGTCACCATCTGGACTCATCATGTGGTGCCTATCACTTATCGGACTCAAACTGGAACTGCTAAACTGGGAACAGCATTCTCCTTCACATCCCCAGGTTCTTCCCTCCACCCTGCCTTCTTATACAGGACACTCCAATGGTCTCAACTCAGGGCTGGGACACATAGATGAGTCCCTTCCACTGACTTCGGATCCCAAATCATTCTCCTACACACTTGGAAACCCACATTCCTGGGAGGTCCACTGACTTTGAATCCCAAATCATTCTCCTACACACTTGGAAACCCACATTCCTGGRAGGTCCCCTGCCTCCCTTAGGGCATGTGACTCCTGGACAGATTATCTTCTACCATTTTCTGAAACTGCTACCTACTTCCTTTCTCTAACTCTGTGTTTCCTATAACAATGGCCTGGTGACTTTGACATCAATGAGGGCAAAGAGCACTCTTAGATCCTAGACCTTCTCACCAATAATCCCTTTTCCACCTGTCTTCACTGCCAATGTGCCAACAGCTGTAGAGACTTCTGTCTCCAATCTACATGTCATCCTCAAAAACCTTGACTTTCAGCATTTAATCCACTAAGCAAGACCCACCCCCCACAAAGCTTTCCAGCTCATTTACTGCTGATAATTCCTCCCACTCTCTAAGACCATAGCTGGTACTCCGACCATCATTATCCATCAGTCACAGGTCTCCTGTCCTTACAGCCTGCATACCCAACCAGAGCATATTAGCCTAGCTCTCCCTGAGAAACACGCCTTGTTTACCTGGGCCACAGTCATGGTGTGCACACTGACCACTTCCTCATAGCCTGGGCCCAGGGCTCTGAATGTTGCTGAAGAAAATACATAACCAGGCTGACTGGTTTTGCTTGACTCATCACCACAGATTTCATATAWGCACTTCCTTCCTCAGCTTATCTACCTGCTCCCACCACCAAGGTCAAACTAGCCTCTCTGGGGCTTCTCTTGCTCCCCTCCAACTATGACTCCATTGGACGCTTTGGTTAAAAACAGGAAATGAATTGGCTACCTGCCTAATCTCTTCTACAGCTTCCCACTGCTCAGAGAACAGATTCAGTCTATTCACTAGAGCTTAGAAGCTGAGTATCCCTCTGACCCCTGCAATCCTGGTCCGTAAGTAACCTCCCCTTGCACCACTGACCTCTCCGCACACCTCTGGAGCCTTAGCCAGAGACCTCTGGAATTTCTCCAACTCAGCCAGTTCTTTTCTGCCTGAAGGCCTGTGTATACACAGCTCACCTCATCACCTAGAAGCAGGGATCCAGACTCTTAYAGTTTAAATATAAGGTTTCCTCAAAAAGTTCATCTGTGAGATAATGCAAGAATGTCCAAAGGTGAAATGCATTATGAGAGATGCAATCTAATGGTGGATTGATCCACTGATGGATTTACTGGGTGGTAACTTTAGAGAGGTAGGATGTAGCCAGAGAAAGTAGTTTACTGGAGGTCTAACTTTCAGGTATATATTTCATCCTTGGTGAGCGGGCCTCTTTTTCTGCTCCTAGTTGCCATGTCCTGAGCTGTTTTCATCTACCTTGCCCTTTTGCCATGATGTTCTGCCTCATCTCATACCTAGGGCTATAAATTGAGCCATCAATATACTGAAACTTCTGAAACCATAAGCCAAAATAAGCTTTTCCTCTTCTAATTGTTTTTATCAGGTTTTTTAATCCCAGTGATGAAAAAGCTGCCTGAAACACAGACCCTGACATACCTACCTCCTCTCTATTCTTATGTCTTATTTTCCAGGGTCACATTCCAGGGCCTCCCCCGCCCACACACACACACACACACACACTCTCTACAAAGTAGAATTTCTCTACCTTTCTCCTCAATTGTCAGGGCACTTTTCACACACTACAGTTATTCTGTTTAGTACCTATCTCTCCAGGGAGATGTAACCCCATGATGACAGCAACCCTACCTTGTTCACTGCTGCAATTCCACTACTGAGGGACATAACAGATTTTTAACACTCAACCCATTTTTACTGAATAAACGAGGATCAATTATTTCATGTACAGAAATGAGCAGAAAGGGTTCCCAGGCCACATGTCAAATTACCAGCTACTATATAATATGACCTCTTCCTGAAGTCAATTAAATCTGATTTTATTTATCATGCTAAGGCCCTCTTCATAAGAAAGAGAATTTTAGTTATTTTATTACAACATACCTACTTTCTAGAAGGAATAGGAGATGGCTTATTTCTTCACCCTAGTCCTCTGACTTATGAACTTGTCAACTATGGTTTTGTCAATCACAGGACTAAAAAGTAATTCTCATAGATATAACAGTAAGAATGACAATTACAATAATAACTAACATGTACTAAGTATTTTGCAAAGGTCAGGTGGTGAGCACTTTATGTGTGTCCACATATATCTGTAAGAATATACTATTATTCTCCCCATTTTACAGACAAGTATGCTTGTCTGAGTGGTTTCACAGATCATGAACATAGTGAAACTGAAACTTAGCTTCAAAGTACAGCGCCTCATAAAAGGGAAAAGCACAAAGCCACTAATAACAAAAAAGGTAAAAAGACGTAAGATAACTGAAGGTAGAGTAAAGGAAATAGCCATGTTAAAAGATCTGGCTAAGGCAGGAGGATGTCGCTCAGTGGTTAAGCACCCTGGGTTCAATACCAGTACCAAAAACAAAAACAAAGATTTGGCTAAGAAAGTTCCATTTGAACCCAAGTAAGATATTAAGCTTTCCAACAGCTAAGGCAAAATAGGCTAAAATCAGTTTATACTAAACTGATTAAAAACTAATTAAAAACTGAAATTGTTAAATAATTTCAATAACTTACTTACCGTCCCTGCTTTTGGTAATGCTGGGGATAGAACTCAAGGTCTCATGCACATTAGTCAAAACTTCACCACTGAGCTACATCCCCTCAATAACTTACTTTTTCCTCAATAACTTACTTTTTAAAGCACATGGCTATTCTAGACAACACTTAAAAAACTTTCTCAAAAACAATATCTGAATCAATTCAGTTAACTTTGAGTCATAAATCTTAAATCAAGAATCAAAAGTGACATTTTAAAATGCAAAAATTTTTTTATATACAAGTTGTTTTGTTTTTTGTTCTTTTTTGTTTTGTTTTGCCTATAAAACCTTTTATCAACCCCTACTTTTGCTGATCAAACCAAATTTTCACTAAAACCATGTACTAACATAAATTAGTGAAAAAGTTATTATCAGCTTTATCTGAAGTGTTATTCCTAGGAAGACATTCATTTTCCACTTATTCATACTAACAACATATTCACAAGGCAGGTTTGTTTAAAAGTCTGTATTAAAAAATTGCTTCCTGCCAAAACTATTTGGGAACATAAGTCAGGGAAAATTTTTGTAGCTCTAACTAAAAACACATTGTTTTTGGCAACCATAACCTAAGCACATTTCTACATTCTCCCTGAACATTAGAAATGCATGTAAGTAAGGCAAAAACTAAAAAAGGAAAACTTCAAAATGGTTTTGGCTATGAACTTAAATGTTTCTACTTTGGCTGGAAGGAAAAATAATAAAATCTATTAAATTTTCATTTTACACACAGATATTATAGTGAATTAACATCCTCCTACCTGATAAGATCTTCTCTGTCTTGAAAAATTTGTGTTTTCCGATTGACGGTATAACTAGGAAACTCCATTCGGCCGAGATTGACCAACAGCACAGTAGAAAGCTGACCTTGGCCACCACAAGCAGCTTCTTCATCTTCCATGGTGTCTGTCAATGAAAACAGTAGCAAGATCCGGGAAAACACAGCCCTGGGGCCTTTACAGACTCGCAGTGACTGTCCAGCCAAGTCTTTGGCTCTGCAAAAAATATATAATATAGAAATGTCCTTCTGGTTATTAAGCATTTAAATGTCAGATTTTGCATATTAGTATCAGGTACAATAAAGGTAAATGGTACTCATTATCCTAAACCTAAAGCAAATCTACCACCTCCAACCATGTAAAGCTTAACCTCTCCAGAGCTCAGAGTCCCACTTASAGACACAAGATTGATTGAATTTATGTCTTCAAATGGTTTCACATATCGTTTGGCTCAATAAAAGTGTTTCCTTCCCTAACCACAGAATAGGATGAGGTTTACCATGGTCATGAACACTTAAAATATCAAGAAAACTCGTAAAAGTAATATCTCTTCAACATCACTAATTCTCAGCTATTGATTTTGGTAGCTCAAAACCTCTTAGTAAGGCAGCATCATTTGTGTACCCGGAAATGGTACAAATCTGTACCAAGGTTTGGTGCTACTTACTAATGTACAAAGTACATTATTTGTGTTATTTTATTACAACATACCTACTTTCTAGAAGGAATAGGAGATGGCTTATTTCTTCACCCTAGAAATAAGTCAGGGAAAACACATTGTTTTTGGCAACTATAACCTAAGCACATTTCTATATTCTCCCTGAACATTAGAACTGCATGTAAATAAGAAACATCTTCAAATGGTTTCATCTCCATTCCAGGGTCATCTCAGAGAGAATTCAGTTCAATTCTGGATGTCGGCAGTGTAGGTTTGAAGGTCTRAATTAAAGACTACGACCTATAGCAGGGTTTCTCAGCCTCAGCACTACTGTATTTAGGCTGGATAATACTTCATTGTCGGCTCTATCTCATGCCTCMGATGATGTTCAGCAGCATCTCTGATCTCTACTCAATGGAAGCCATTAGCACCAGTATCTCCAGTGATAGCAACCAAACATGTGCCCAGATGATGCCAAATACTCCCTGGTGGTTAAAAATCACTTGAGAACCACTATCCTGGTAAGGACTTCATACCAACTCATCCAGAAGATATGAAACCAAAAGCAGACAGTGCTGCATCCCTGGGAGCACTACAGAGATTTAGTGCTACTATCAGAGACCTGAGGGAAAAGAGTAGGGTTCCYATCACACCAACATTTTATTGAAAACTATTCATCTACAGAGACTGTCAAAAAGTACCCATTTCTGCTGGCCACAGYGGTATACACCTATAATCCCAGTAACTCAGGRGGCTGAGGAGGAGTCAAATTCATCAATTTAGCAAAGTCCTAAGCAACATAGTGCAACCATGTTTCAAGATTAAAAAATTACCTAAGAATTTACTGTCTTTGTTCTATTGACTATTGTTTTTGGTGCTAGAAATTAAAATGGTTTTTTTGTTTTGTTTTGTTTTGTTTGGACACAGGATCGCACTCAGGGGCACTTTACTACTGTGATGAATCCCAATCCTTTTTATTTTTTTATTTTGAGACAGCATCTCATTAAGTTACTGAGTGTGACTCTGAACTTGTGATCCTCCTGCCTCAGCCTCCTGAGTCACTGGGATTACAGGCATGTGCAACTGAGCCTGGCTAGTATGATCTTAAGCTTAAAATAAGCTAAAAAAGAACCTAAGTTATTATAAATAAGGCTCTTCCAGGCTTCTCAATCTAATTTCAACTGAAATAAGGATTACAATTATAAAAAGCATACAATCTACAATAAGTTAGCATTTGTTATCAACATTTTAAATAATTTTGCTCTTATAAAGTGAACAAACCTTTTTAAAATCACTGCTCTGATTCCAGACTGACTCTTGCCCCAAGTGCAGACTGAACGCTGTTTGGCCAATTTGAGAAAGTCATCCACTAGCTGCTGTTTCTGTCCATTGGGATTTACCAAGTGGAAGGTCTTAGCCAGAGTTTTCAGCTCAGGAGCAGAAAGAAGTTCAAGGACTTCAGAGAGTTCTTGCAATTCAGATTCTGAAATAGTTTTTTTTAAAAAAAGTGAAAAATTGTTCTAAGGAATTTTACTACTTTCTACTAAGTAGAATAGTAAAAGAAAGAAGGAGTATAATGCCTTCCATTGTCATATATAAATAAAAAATAAAGAAGGAAGCTTAGGTAGATACAAATAAAATGAATTTTTACTGTATAAAATTTAAGTAGTTTGCCAAAACCCAAAACTAATTTGGTGAGTTTGCCAAATTCTCTCCATTAAAGACCATGGAAGATAGATACATCTTAAAAAGTTCTGAAATAACAGAATTTCTCACAAAAAGGAAAATATGACTACAAAAAAGACACATGTGGAAAGTTATTATGGTTTGGGCATGCTGCTCAAATAGATTACTTGACTATATATTCCCTATCTTTGTCATCACAAAACCTCTAAAGGACTTTCCAAATCAGGTTAGAGTGATCATCCTCTTCTTCCCACAGTCCCTTCCCTGCTCATGTTYTTCAGACTGGAAATCCTTTCATTGGCTCACTCATTTGGTACACAGAAATCATACTCTGCTTTTAAGGGCCCCAGACACCACACCAGGCCCTACACATTTRGCCTGGCTGGTCTCTGCCTATAAGGCACTCACAGTTTAAGCAGTGCCTTCTTACACACAACAAATATTTACTAAATGTGCACTCATGCCGGGTGATGTTAAGACCTTGGGCACACTACACGGTATTTTTGTGGAAATTGCCTTTCCACAAGAAGCTTACCTCCTGGCATAGTAAATAAACCAATGATTATATGTTAGGTGGTAATAACTGCTAGAAGGAGAAAGAAACAGGTGAGATAAGGGAGCCTCGCAGGGAGGCTGGCCGTTTCACACAGGGTAGTCAGGCAAATTTCTGATGAGYTAACATAGCACAGAGGTGAATGGAACCAGGAATAAGCCACGTGGCCAGACAATGGAAACTCTCCTACATGGAGGGGATATTGAGGCCAAGTTTCTGAAACAGGAGTGCACTCAGCATGGTGAAGAGCACTGAAGCTGTGTGGCTGCAGCAGAGGGAGTGAGAGGGCAGCCACAAGGTCAGAGAAACAGMTAGAGAGATGTTGCATCATCAGTAGGGCTTGGATTTGACTGAGTGCAATGATGAAACATCTGCGTTCTGGTTTTGTTACTGAAAGGTTATTTAAAGGTAGGTCACAGCAGCAGTCAGCTGGGATGCTGGTCAACCATATCAATTTATGGAATCTGCCCAGATCTTTCCCATCAAGTAGGGATCAAGATTCCCTTTCCCAGGTGACCCTGATGGCAACAACATGTGGGAAGCAATGCTCCATGGAGGGCCTCGGTTCCTACTACCTAACTACTCATATCCACGCTCTTTTGCTGAGCCTCCGTGACTTTCCCCCAMGATCCCCATGTCCACCCTATCTAGCCCCACCCTAACTTCATCTTTACCTGCTGCTCTCCCATAACAAACTCTGCCCCAAAGGAACCATTTGGCTCAATTTACTTATTTTGCTAAAATGTAAGCAACCCGAATCCAAAGTTCACCAGTTTTCGTTTTCCTCATAAATAAGTTTCCACACAATATCGTGTAGGTAGGTATTCAGTGAAGACTACTGACAAGACAACCCAGAGTATCACTGGAGAAGACATATTCTCCTTTACTGTTTACATAGGTTTAAATCAATTAAAAATTCTCCAGGCAATCAATGTGAGCTGTATGTGTGTGCACATGTGGGTAGATAAAGTTTTTAGAAGAAATACACATTTCAAATAAGCCAGCCTTGTTCTTTTATAAAGATGGAAGAATCTGAGTAAAATTACTCAACTTCTTGCTGGAAAGAAAGAGACAAGGAGGGATGCATTTCTTCTGTGGCACAATCTCTACCTGGGTGATTTCATGGTCTTAAAACTGCAAGTCAGGAAAGCAAGAGCAGACAAGTTTTCACTCTCCTGGTGGTCTTATCTCATCACATGAATAATCTGTTGCACTAAGTTTAAAAACTTGATTTTAAAAAAGCAATTACTATTACCAGGCAACAACCAGGAGATGGCACCATACTAACAGTACCATCATTCTGCAGAAACTGAACTCTTCGGGTTACCATTTCATTTCTTAGTATCATCTACTGATCATACCTGTCTGGAGAAAGCCTGCRTGCTTCAATTCTTCAATCACAGGTATTAAGTCTGAAGCAATCTCTTCATATTCTAATTTATTCATCTTAATCCAGCTTAATTTACGTTGAAAGAGCCTTACATATAATTTCTGACCACTAGCTGTGATAAAGTTAAGAAAAATAGGAAAAAATTACTTTTTTTTCTCAAAAACAATATACAAATTACCCATTTACTTTTAAAACCTGAAATGAGTAAATATACTATATTAGGAATATACATTTTCTTACCTTATGTATAATGATATAATTTCATATAAGTCATTTTACGAAGTTCCAATTTAGTAATGAACATGAGTCATTTTAAAACTTCTAAAATCAAATCCCCCTATTTTCTAGTCAATATTTCTTCTTCCTAAAAGAAACCCTACCTACAATTCTATAGTAATTTTGTTCTCTGCTTTCAGTTTAATATACATTAGTCCATTTAGGGCCAAAAATAGTCYGAATTTTCCAAAACAGTGCCTAGCTTAGATAGGACAGTCATCTCTACCTCAGAGTTCTATTCCAACTTACATAATTAACCTGTTAGGTCTATTTCCTTACTACTTGAATTATTTTTAAATTTCTGCCAACTCTAAAATAATATTATAGCTTTTAAATTTTTCTACATTTTCCTTTCTTTCCTTTAAAGAGGCARCTTTTACTTAAGACWCATTGTATGTGATTCTCCATGGAAAGCAATTCAATGAATTTGTTAAACTTGCACAAGGTAAACTGTTCATATTTTCCAGTTATATGGAGGCCCAGATCCATCAAGTACTCAAAAAGTCACATAAGCTGGGCATGGTGGCACACACCTGTAATTCCGAAGCAGGAGGACTGCAAATTCAAAATCAGTCTCAGCAACTCAGTAAGACCCTATCTCTAAATAAAATATAAAATAGGGCTGGGGATGTTGTTGAGTGGTTAAGAGCCCCTGAGTTCAATCCCCAGTATCCAAAAAAAAAAAAAAAAAAAACGTCAATATAATCAGCACCCATCCAAAGAACTGTGGCCAGTCTGGATTAAAGAGCCAATGTGATGCCTTTCTGTCCATACCCTGGTGAGACAAGAATGAGATGGAGGCTGTATGGACACTTTACACAACTTGCTGAGAAGTGCAAGTCACCTGTTAAAAAATAATACAAGGAATATCCTGATAATTCCACTGTGTGTAGTTTCTTAAATATTAGTAGTAGCTGAGTATGGTGGTACACACCTATAATCCCAGGTACTTAGGAGGCTGAGGAAGGAGGATCCCAAGTTTGAGGCCAGCCTGGGCAACTTAGAAAGACCCAAACTCAAAATAACAATAAAAGCATTAAATATTAGTAGCAATATCTAGGATGTTCTTCTTTTAATCAACTGAAGAGACAGACACGCCCATACTGCACTAGAGGACAGTGTGAAAACCATGTAAACAGTTCAGCCACAAAGTAAGCTATTTCAACCTTGAAGTGATTCAGTTCTAGAGCCGTCATGACCCTTTGTAACAGGGCAGCCACACCAGGGTGCCCTTTTCTTCAAACCTGCAAGACCAACTTGGTGCCACCACTGGCTAATGATTTGAGGCACAGACTAATATTTTTAAAGGTACCAATTTAAGCCTGAGAGCTTCCATTTTCTCCACAACCTGACTTGAAGAGGTCAAGTCCAAGAATCTAAACACTGTTGGAAAAAAATTGTGCCTCAGATTGGTTTGTTATTTTTCCTAAATTTTATATTATTTTACTTTCATTTTTGAGGAAATGAACTGTGAAAACAAAACAATCTAACAGGAAGCTTGATTACATGCCCAAAATGCAAAGTTATGTTTTTTTCAGTGTATTCTTTAAAAAATCTGGCAGGGTCATTTTACATCCATCAAACATATCTATAAAGGAAAAAACAACTGCTTCCATGGCAATCCAAGTTCTGCTTGCACAGTAGATAGCACCTACCTGCATATCCTTGATACAAATCTTATAGAAAGCTCGGATTCCAATTTACAAAATCACAATGATTTCTACTAGTCATTAGGTCACTGCCCATCACATCACCCTTCAATTAGGACAGCAAATGGGAAACAAAAAATTGAAAGCAAACAGGCTGAAGATACCTGATAATTGATGAAATTTACTTATAATTCCCTTCTCCTCTTCATCAAAGAGCATCATATCATCTTCATTCTCAAGTACAGCTTTCAGTACCATATGGAAATTCYGAAGATAGTAAGGATGACTCAGTGTTTGCGGCATCTTATCAGGAACACCACAGCTTGACCCTTGCTCCACAGCAGTGCTACAAGTGATTTTACTCTTTAAGCCACTCTCACCTTCCAAAACTTCTTGAAAGTTACTCCACTCAGAAGCAATTGTAGAACTTGGAAAATTTGCCTCTGAATTTGACAACTGTGTTTTAAGTTCTGAAACAACAGTCATTTCTACTTCTTTACAATTACATGCCTCAAGTTTTTCAACACCTTTATCATCTATATCTTTGACATTCTCTTGCTTTACAAGACTATCTTCTGAAGTATACTTTAAATTATTCCCAAGGAATAAATCTGGAGAAAATAACATGGGAGCTTTATCAGAGAACCCAGGGGTAAGGGTGAATTTCCCACATTTCTGAGCAGTCTTTTGGCTTTCAGCTTCCACTATTTTATCACCTTTTACCATAGGTTCAGAAATATTCTCTTCCTTTAGAGAATCACATGTAAAAATATTTTCTTTTTGAGAACTGTTCTCCAAAATTTGATCCTTGTCCTCAATTTCTAAACAGTTAGCAATCAGGCTTTTAACAGCTGTGGATGGGGAACTCTGTAGACAATTATTGCTAAATTCCTCATTCTTACTTAGTGACTTTTTAGCCTTTATGTATTTCCTGGACAATTTAGATGACAGGCTTCCCAAAGAAATGACTTTCACAGAATGATTTCTCAGCTCATCTTGATTTTTGCACACCAAGGCATCAGTACTTTTAAAGTAAGGACTGGTCTGCTGTTTTGCGCTCATTTTTGCCAAACCACTTTGGTGAGGGATTGGACTTGTCTTTGGTGGTGACTTCCTTGGTCTTACATCTTCTAAGGCAGTATTCTTTAAATCTACTGTGGTCACATTTGAATTCATTAAGTTAACCTGTACTGGATTCGTTTGAATGACATCACCATTGTTAGCACACATTTCATCAAGGTGCTGGTTTAAGTTATACCGGGGCACCATTTTACTACAAATGGGGCAAGCAAGTTTAGCAGGTGGTGCATTGTTAAAATACGAAACGATAGAGTTAGATGAATTTTTTCTAGTTTTGTTGATTGATAAGCTTCTCCGAGGTCTTTTTTTGTCAGGCGATTTCCCTTCTGGCATTATGAGTATTAGAAAAATTGGGTGATCCAAGTAATAAAACACAGGCTATTTCTGGTGAAAGATAGCAATGCTTTACTTTTACTCTCTTGGCTTGAACTAATAAAAACGGGGACTTTATGTAACCTCATGTTATTCGTTTAAATTTCTTCCTCCTACAAAATAAAACACATATGGGTTAAAACCATCTTCATGAAATTAAACGTGGAACATTTAATTTCCAGGAAATTAAACATTTCCTGGGACAAGAGAACCCTAGGCTTGAGGCAGAACACGGAGGCTGCACGCAATTTTAATGTGTCTTTTATCATAAAATGACAGACTAGACTTATAAGGTTAACTTATAAAGTTGAGACTTTTTAAACATCTAAAATTACCCGTTTTTAAAAAGGGATTTTTTTTACTATTCCAGATCCTTCTATAAAAGCACAGCATCGGTAACATTTTCCTTGGGAGATGGTGCCCATCGGGATGGTTCCCCAAGGCAGCTCCCGCCTCAGGCCTGCACAGACGAACGCCCACAGTCGTCGCGGGGATCTGCACGCACGCTTGGCTGCCACCGCCACAGCTTCCGCTGCAAAGCCCCTGGGGGCCAGCGAGCACGGCTGGAGCAGCGAGGCCAAATCCGCGGGCCTGGGATGCGCCCCCGGGTAGCGCACCCGCGGCCACGCGACCGCCCGGCGTCCTCCCGCCCTGCGCCCCTCCCCTTCCTCCTTTTGCGCGGGCCATCAGCACCACTCACGATTCGTCCCCGCAGCCCCGACTTCCCTYCAGGCTCCGCGCACCGGCACTCCAGGCATTCCCAGCCGATCTAGCGTCTCGATTCCACAGGCTCAGCAAGAGGAGGCTCGAGTGATCGATCTCCTTTCCTTGCCTCCTAGAAAATCCCAAACCGATGGGCTCACACTAGCTGTGCCCCTGAGGGAGACCTAGATACCTCCTAACTTTCACACTTGGGCAGTGSGCCCCAGAACACCTTTTCTGTGGCTAAGTACACTTTATATATGTGGTAACAATAGCAAAAGGGAGAAGAATGCAAATGAAACTATACTATTGCATGGTCTTACTTTTTAAATGAAGAGGTACCATATTAATTCCAAGTAGACTGTGATAAGGATGCATATTGTAGTTCCTAGAAAAAGTAAAAATTAATGCAAAGCGGTAGAGCTAAAATATTAGTGGAGAAACTAACATTTGATAGCAAAGAGATAAGGAAAGGAGAGCAGGAGAAGAAAGCCTAAGACTTCTCCTCCTGGGAGAAGTCTATGTTACCCCTTTTAAAATAAACCCTATTTTGTTGTTGTTGTTGTTTTGTTTGTTTTTGGTTTTTCTATAGATGAAGTTGGGCACAGTACCTTTATTTATTTATTTGTTTGTTTTTATGTGGTGCTGAGGATCTAACCCAGGGCTTAGCACTGGCTAGGCGAGCTCTCTACCGCTGAGCCACAATCCCAGCCCATAAACTCTACTTTTTCTGCTTGCCTCCTCATGCTTTTCTAAAGTTAGATTTCAACATGTGAGGGAGCAGAACTCATCACTGGTAAGCAACCAGAGGTATCACAAACATACAGTATTCAAATACTAACCAAAATAACTGWAATGCTATATTGAAACAAAGTAGTCTTCCTTATGGGAGTAACTACCAGAAAAAAACAAGGTCATTTTATAAAGTCAAGTTAAAAGGGGCAATTCACAAACAAGGCATCAAAATCATAAGTAGGCATATACCTATTAACAAGGTTYCTATGGGGCTGGGGATGTGGCWCAAGCGGTAGCGCGCTCRCCTGGCATGGGTGCGGCCSGGGTTCGAGCCTCAGCACCCCATACCAACAAAGATGTTGCGTCCGCTGATAACTAAAAAATAAATATTAAAAAATTCTCTCTCYCTMTMTCTCTYTWWAARARAAAMACA